ACAAAGCCTAAGAAGTGTAAATTCCGATCACGTGGATAGGCTCTCTTTCTATTCCGTGTTGGCCAAATACTCAGCAATTCTTGTCTGTAGTCTGGTTGGGCCTTTTACGGCATAAAGAACAAGGTTTTAAGTGCTGCCTTGGGGCCAGCAGCAGCCTGTTGTTATATCAGAGCGCAGGCAATGGGAGCCAGGCCTCTGAGTCCTCCCCAATGACAACATTGCATGTGTGTGTGTACGTGCTTACTCAGGGAACGACATTAATACAAACTGTTTATTGGTGTCTCTGGTGCATAGAAGTATACAAAAGGGTACAGAATGTTCAGTAGGAAAATATGGATTCTTTTCCTGCTTTCATCACTCCTCCTCCATTTGGGTAGATTTTCTCCCTGTACATTTTTTTTTGTTATGTTACTACAAAAAACCTTATCCGTCTTAGTTTCCAACTCAAGAATAAACCTGACAGTGTAATGGCAATTACACAAGACTGAAGCAAAATTGGTATTAAAAATAAAAGCTAATGCTTGTGCTTTTCCACTCACCAACACTTTCAAAAATCCTCTCAGCAACATGGCAGCACAGCTCAGCATTGAGAACCAGTCTAATGGGAATACAGGGAGTGGATTAGTGTTGCTGTGAGTATGCATTGTGTTGAAAAGGCACGGTGATGCTACAGGGTGTGGGCATTTATGCAGAAGGTAGAACAGCAGCACAGGGGAGGAGTGTTAATCACTGGGCAACATGCCAACATGTTAGCAGGGGCAACCGAGGGGTGCCAGCAGGGGCGAGTCTGGCAGCTGTCAGCGGGGGCAGGTCACGCTGTGAAGTGCATGGTTGGGCTGCCTCTGAATGCAACCAGGGATCTGGGGAAGTGAGAATTGTCCCTGGGTATTTACAGCTGTCCATGCTGAGTTTCTGTGTGTATGAAGTGGGAGTTAGATGAGGAAAGAGACAGGTGGAGAGCAGTGAGTGTCTGTATGACAGCTATGCTCACACAACATATCTGCTATGCATATATGTCAGAGCCCAGTGTAAGAAACCAGGACCGGCACAGAGCAGCCGTCGTTCAGATTCACACTTTGAAAGACACAAACTCCAATGCCAAGGAAAAAAGGAGGCGAAAAAAAAAAAGAGTAAGGCGGCTGCCCCCATGCTTAGCGAACCGAATCCCACTGCTGGCCAGAAGCGCAGCTACTCACTTTAAAGAACATCAGTTTTTGACAAAAATCTCATTTGAAGAAGGACAGATATCCACACTGTCCTGGACATTTCACAGCCTTTGTCACAATATATTTAGGGGCAAATTTAATTAGAATGTGAAGGCTTAAATGTGTTACCTTAAATCTTTGGGCTATGCCCACACATTACATACAAATGAGCACATATTTATACACCCTGGTGTGTCTTTAATATAGCAATCCAGGCCTTGCAAAACTCATTTTGTTTGCAGGAATATTCAGGATCTCCTGATCATTAATCACAATAGAGCTATAAACTACTAAAGCAGTAATTAACTGGAATGAGTCACCCTGGGGCTTTATTTGCCAAATGTAGCTTAACCAGCCGGAACAGATGTCTCAACGACAATTTGAACTTAGCATTTAGTCTAGCATTAGTGTGTTTAGCTTGACACTCAGAGGGTCTTCATGGATTCTGCAGCCATATTTTTATTAGTTTATCTCATCATGCAGAAAAAGTTTCCACTGAAGTGTAAAGAAAACCCAGTATTTTCCATAAGCTATAAACATAGTGCAGTACTGATGGGGGTATTAAAGTACTTTCACTTCCTAAAATTCTGCTAGTCAAGTTCAGGCATGGCACAACAACATGCCCCACAAGGTGTGGTCTTTTTTTTTTTTAAATGCAATGACGACCAATTAACCATCTGTGTCCTTTGGGATTTAGCGGTGCGATGAGCTGCATGTCACTTTGTCCTACATGCCATTCATGAAAGGATTAAGGCAATGCTGAAGTGTGCTCTGGAGACAGGCTAAGTCCAGTAGACTCATGGCAATGGTGAGATGGGAATCTGAGTTGAAACAGCCATGGACTGACACCATGACACACAAATCAATGAAGATGTTTGTCCATCCTTTGTAGTGACCGTAAGCTTTAACTGTGGATTCACGTTCAATGGCACATGTAGTTTAGTCAACCATTTTAACTTCTGGCTTTGGAATTGTAAACAAAAGATTCTATCCTGCTGTGCTCAACTTCTGCTTACTGACTACTGCTTCATGCTGATAAGGTGAAAATGACTTGAAGCGCCAAAATTACAGAGCATTTCCACATTTGTCTAAAGCAATCCGAAGGTGTCCCACAGCAAATTGTTTATATATGAACTGTTTACACCTGATAATCATGCACCTCCCTGTGATAAGTGCAGTAGCATTAATGTCGTCACACATCACTCGTGTTGCAGTGTTTACATGGCAATCCCTCTTCACCCAGCCTTTTCTGGGATGCTTCTCCTGAACTGTTAATGCTTTTCTTTCTCTCCAGCATCTCTTGCAATTATGGGTGTTAAAGTGCTGCAATGTTTCCCCTGGTACCGGCGCTGTAAGGAAAGGAGCAAGGGAAGGCAGCGCCCACCAGTGGCAGATGAAGAGAATGGTGAGAGTGATTATCGCAGGCGTGGGGCCTGCATCTATCCCCACACCTGTTAATGAGCCCCAAGTGTGTATTTCTGTATGCACTATGAACTAACAGAACACTGGAAGTTTAATGTGACACAGAAAGGCTCCAGTTAAATGGCGCTCTGACCCTAAACTACACTGTGAACATCTTAAAGCAGAGAGGAAGGGGGTATATACAAAAACTGAAGCATTCAAATGTACCTGTAGTGAAACGTGCACAAATGGCAAGTGCAGCTTCATTAACAGTTTCCATATCATTTCCCATGCAGAGAAATTTACTGGTGTACAATCTCTAAAACATTTTTTTATGTCTTGTCCCTTGTCCTGCTACACAGACCCCCCTGCAGAGAAACCACGCCTCTCATCCACAGCCTCCTCGGGGAGTGAGAATGAGGGTGGGGGGGGTGCTGCAGGGTCCCAGGTCTACTATTCCCAGAAGGCCCGCGTCTCCTTTAGGCATCAGATGGATGGAAATGTTAACGCTATAGATGCCACCTACTGACTCCTCATTCTCAGAATGGCTCCCTGTAACATCCGCAGGACCTCTCCTTCTCATCTTTATTTGGAGAATGACAAAAAGACAGATGTCTAGGGTTCCCTAAAATTCAAAACCAGAATTAGACAACCAGTGAAATGTAACCGGATAGGCCTTACGGGGGGATGTCTTCTGAAAGGAGGGCTTCGGTTGGATGAGTGTTAGTGAGGCTATTAAAGCCATCTCCCCTGTCTTTGCTGGATTGCCGATGGGCACTGTAGAGGCCGTAAGCCTGGAATGTGCATTTGGTGGAACGACAGGAGAAATGAGAGGTGAATTGTTTACATTATTACTGCCAACAAGTGCTTTTCATTACTGTTTAATATTTACAAAATTTTGGTTTTTAGTATTAGTCATCTATATGCATGAGAGAGAGAATGATTGCGCCCAATGCACCCAGAGGTGGTTAAGTGGGCTCTTCCCCACAAAGCATTTGCATTGAACTCTCCAAAGTAACAGCCACTAGTTTAAATGCTATCATCTATCTTAATACTGTGTGCAAGGACAATGCACAGATCGAAAGTCTTACTCTATGCAAGCATTAAAAAGGTTAAATTAGCAGGCTGAACACTGTCACGATTAAGCCGTGTGTGAATAATGGGAATTTGAATACAAGGTTTCTTTGTAAACACTGTGTGCAGAGAAGCTTACCACTGCCTTTTTCATAACTTTTAGAAAAATACATACATTCTGCCAAACTTTAAATCCTTTTAAAGGGACAAGTTTTTAAATTGCACCTTTACATTTTATTTAATAAATATACTTTGTAATGGAAATATGAATGATGGAAGCAAGTGATCAGCATATCATCATAGGATTCAGAAACCATATTTATCCATGACACGGATAAACTTTGACCAACGTGTTACCTTCAAAGACAATCTAATATGGTCCATTTAAGGAATGTAATATTCTGGATCAGTTCTAAAAGGGGTTTTAAAGTGTGGTATGTTAACTGCTGGAGTGTCTGAAGGAAAACTTCAAATTTTCAGAAAGATTCCAAATGAGACAGTCATTAGGACAGCCAATGCTCCAACAGAACTATCTACTTTTTCAATGAGTACTCCTTTTCACCAGCATTGAAAAAAAATGTAAAAGATTTATGTGGTCCTTTCATAGGTAATTCTGTTAAAAGCACTTTTACCGTTTTATGTGAAGATGGGAACATACTAAACAAGCAATAAAAAGTTTAAAAAAGATTGTCTTTTCGTTTTCACTATTTATCCTTTAGTTCGAAATGGGTAAACATTATTCCAGTCCAAACAGGTCACAAGACCAAAACTGGGCAAAACATTTATTGTCAAGACTTATAAAATTACTATATATTTCTTATTGAATACATTTTCCATATTTCAGTCCATTTCATCAAAACAAGTACATGTTTCTGTAAACAAGGAGCATCTCACCCCGAACTCCTCCAGAACTGCATCCTGTTAGATTTTTTTTTTAATTTTCATTTATTCATAACTAAGAATTTAAGGTGTTATTGGCCATCTAGATGGTTACCAGTACATCAAACAGTTTTTGAAGAGTTACCTGCAAAAAGGGACAGAACACACAACCTGTAAAACCTTAGTCTTCCTGAGTCTATGCAGAGCTGTTTGGGTTCTGCTCAGGATGGTCTTGCCGGGAGGAGCGTCTGAATCCAGATACAGGCAGGTCCATCAGTGCCTGGACAGTCTGAGCAATCCGTGCCAAACCCTCATCTTCCAGGATCAACTGTGGAGGACAAAGGCTGTCCTGGGGATGGAAAGACACACATGTTTCTTTACAGCACAAGCTACCAGTTCACATAAGATTAATGCACCTGTCAAGACTGGATGCCGTTCCTCTTTGACCATTCTTTGAAGCGTTTAAAGTCAAACAGAAAGAGGGTGTCTTCATAAGGTATCTTTTCTTTAGGAAACAAAATCTCATCGTAGTCTCAGTTTAACTTCTTTTGGCTGCATATTCAAGATCACAATGGCCAAAGACCCATAGTAAATACCGCTCACATGCCAGCCTAATCCATCAACACCAGAATCCATCAGGTTTTTATCAGTTCCTGTACAGACACTGTCCAGGGTTTAATCTACATTTCTTGGTTGAGGTTCTTACTGGTACCAAGCTCAGCATCCACACGGGTATACTGGTACCAAGTCGATCATCCACACGGGTATACTGGTACCAAGCTCAGCATCCACACGGGTATACTGGTACCAAGCTCAGCATTCACACGGGTATACTGGTACCAAGCTTAGCATCCACATGGGTTTACTGGTACCAAGTCGATCATCCACATGGGTATACTGGTACCAAGTCGATCATCCACATGGGTATACTGGTACCAAGTCGATCATCCACATGGGTATACTGGTACCATGGTTGCCATATCTGACATGCATTCAATCAGCAGTGTTGATGCTCCACTCTAATGCATGGGCAGTGAGCAGAGCTGCCACAACTGAGTTTAACCGCTTACCCCAAAGCACCTGGTTTAGTTAGGATAATGAAAAAACTAGATGGATTCGTACCAATAACCCAAACAGCTATGGAAACGAGACTCCATTATCTGGGCCATCAGAGCCAACATGCAGAACCCAGCATCTGCTACAGCTCTCACAATAGCATATTACGGAAATAAACTAGCATCCAATGATTAGTTACCTGAGCTGCAGCAAGCAGATACAGATAGAGTGGAAAGAAGAGCAAGAGAAAAAAGGACCGCAGCAGCAGGGGTTAGTACAATGACCCAGTTGACTAAACACCACCACCCAGCATGCAGTTGAATTCCAGACGACCAGCTGCAGTGACTCACCTTCTCTGTTAGGGGCCTTGCTGCAACTCTAGCCTGAGAGTTAATTGTACTTGGTTGCTCGAGAACAAATTTTCACAAATATTTATCACAATACTGCTGACTTCAGGGAAGGGAAAAAAAAAAAAAAAGAAAAAAAGTGGCCTATAATTTCAGACACAGCAAGTAATAGTTATGAGGCAAACTAACATTACCTTCGCTCAATAACATTTTATATTACTGTATCTGTTAAATAACAGGGAAGCATTAAAAGCAATCATTAGCAATGCTTTGAGCAGATACAGAAACAATAAACACAAATGACACAAGCAGACAAAACATGGAACATTGAGCTTTTTTTAAATCAAAGAGGTGCTTTTTAATATATTCTTTACAATAAAAGAAACAGCTCATATATATATATAAACTCGTATTCTTTTAAACTTCTCATTAAATACATAGATATAAATATTACAAAATACAAGTTCTCTGCAATGGGTTAATTTAATCAGCACATAAGACATTTATCTATCTGTGGTTGAAAGGCTTAGTGGCTGCAAAGCTCAGTTAGATTTGCTTCAAAACTCTAGCATTTGGTTGTCAATTTTAAAGGCTGAATCCAAATAACTGATTATTTTAAAATGATGCAACAAAGATAAAAGCAAACATTTAACCAATGTCCTGGGACAGTACTCTCCACCAGTGTGGCAAAGACTACCTTCACAACATCACAGTTGCTCTCTATCTCCATGCTTCCATTTCAAATGTTCATTGTCTAAAGGACTGCAACGGCACAAAATGGGTGAGTGAAGCTTCTAGAGACCATACAGCATATAATCAGATTTTACAGAAGACGGAAGTGACCTGAAGTGATGCAGTCTTTAAAGGTAGGGTGGCGGAGGGCTACCCAAACTTTTTTAATTGAACGAGTATTGTAATATATTGCATTTACCCTCTGGCTAGATTTCAGGAATGTCTCGCTGATTAATGACATGAACACCTGAATAACAATATGACTCCACTGTGTGCAAGTAGAGAAGTTACATTACACTGTCAGTGTCAGCTACGCAGGTAATTTAGAACTGATAAACACTAATTTTGGGGAAGAACCTAGATGTTTCATTAACTATAATGTCTATACTGCAAGAGTAACTGAGTGGGCAGACCATTAGCCCTGTAAGTGCCCCAGCACAGGTACACTGGCTAGATTGTGGAACCACTAAGTAATAGACCCTGCAGCTCAGACGACAGAGCATTAAGCAGTGCTGCTGTTCACAGTATGACACTCTGACTTTAAATGGGCAGTTAAAGGATATCACTACTTGAAATATTGAGGGTTTTGCAGTAACTGAAAACCAATAACCGTGATCACTACAATACAGTAGTTAAGAGAAATGTGAAGCATCCACTACCTCCTAAAACTTCTTGGTAGCATTAAATAAATTAAAATAAAAATAACTTAAGTTTTTAAATTTACACATGGTGAAAAAATCTTACAAGCTTGGAAATTAATCCGTACCTTCTAATTACAATGTGTTCAGGGAGTATGCAAACATTGCCCCCTGCTGGTCACAGTTCATATTCATTTTAAAGAAAGTCAGTGGAGTAAATCAAGGCTAGGAAACTGGGGCAATGAAGCAATGAAACTTGTATACAAGTGTCTCAAACCGGTCCTCAGGGACCCTCTGACAGTCCACGTTTTTGCCACCGGGAGCTGGGAGGGAGCAAAAATGTGGACCGTCTGAGTCCCCAAAGACTCTGCTGAAAGACACTACTGTAGACAGGCCAGTTCATTATTAACTTTTGAAGAAGCAACTAGTTTGATTTTTGACCTTGTAAAATAGATCCATACCTGCAGTTCAAACTCACAAGAAAAACTAAATTACTTGTGCTGCAAGGGCTTGAAAGTTATGGTTCCACAATGATTAACAGATGATTTTTTCAATTATCATGCCAAACCTCCTATATATTTGGTGCCTAAGGGTAGCGGCAGAGGCCTGTGTGCTGCATGTGGCAGTTAGCATAAGAGATGGTAGATTACAGGCACACCTGCCCAGCTGAGCCTAATTGCATATCAGCATTAGCTCTTTGTGAACGTCTGGCCCGTGGGCCCCGTGAGACCAGAGCAGGGCTCTACGCCTCTCTCCAGTACCTCTGCACACAGAGCTGGAAGCGATACGCCTGGCTTAATCATACAGTGCGTGCTGGGCAACGTCCGGTCTCCCAAGAGACGGCTTGAGGCCGGCTCAGATTATTTGCACAAGTCGTAGGTCTGCACATGCCGGCTCCGTGTAAGCGTGGAGAAACCTTTCTAAAGTGTCCATTGGTGTGCAGCTGGGTGTGACTCAGTGTGTGTTTTAGGCAGCAAGGCGGCAGTACAGCAGGTACAGCAGGCCCATGGCCAGGCAGTAGAAGAGCAGGAAGCCAGGCGAGAGCAGTGAGGCGATGGGGCGGACGTCCTGAGATGGCCCATCCCGGCCCAGGGCCACCAAGGCCTCCACGGCGCGTAGTACGGCACGCGGGTTACAGCGCAACACGTCAGAAGACAAACACACCTCCGTCTGTGAGGGGAGGGGGGGGGGCAAGGGCAGAAAGGATACATCGTATATGGAATGGCAGGTGCAGAGGAGAAAAGCAAGTAAACGTGGAAATTAAACAACAAGAAGATGGACAGACAGATGATGGCAGAGGAAGTGAGAGGGACAGGGAACACAAAAAATAAGTGAGGCTACAAGCACATAAGACAGCAACAAAACAAATCAGCTATGACAGAGCAGACTGAAACGACTGGAAATGAACTGAAAATGACGCTTTTAGCCGAATTCCTAATCAGGCAAAGAAAACAAAATTTCCCCATAGGGAGGAATTAAGTATCATTATTAAAAACAAGTTAATTAGAAAGAACAAAAAGAGCACTGGTGTCTGTCTAATCTCAAAACAGACCAAATTATTACAGTTTAAGTCAGCAAATTCGCACGCCCAGGGGTGAAGTTTGGGTCTGTGGGCAGGACTGTTGCCTCACACCTCCAAAGGTTTAAGTTCATATACAACCTGTGTTGTGCATGGAATGTGTATGTTCTCGCTGTTCTGCACAGGTTTCCCCTCACAGTGCATGCATTGAGGCTAAGTGCCGCCTTATTTGCCCAACATGTGTGCATATATGGACAGCTTGGGACAGGCTCCAGGGTAAGAGGCTGGAAGATATTTCTAGAAACTAATCAAAAGCAGTGGATTTTCTTTAATACTTGTAGTCTGTTCTGCATGCTGTTTAAAATACGTCAGCAGTATGCAAAAACATTGTGTTACTTTCAAGTAAACTACTTTTTCACAAAGCTAATGTGTTACATGAAATCCAGCTATTTAACAGAAAGAAGTATACAAAAAAACTACTTCAGGAAACCTTAACACTGAATAAGAATTACCATAGTTGTTCTGGAGGTAGCAATATATGGTTACATTAATCCACAGACCAACTGTCTGTTAGCTAAATATGTATTAAAACATCTAAGGTTTAGCATTTCCATATTATTTGCCCAACATGTGTGCATGTATATGGACAGCTTACACTCAAATCATGCTCATTTTCTGCTAGACCTGAAAAACAGTTCATCTCACATCTGATGACTTAAGAACATTAATAAAACACTGACTTGAATTCAGCATTATTAAGATCAGGTTTTCACATATTCAGGAACATCACTCATCATTAGTAGGTGCTCTAAATAAGAGCCGGAGGAGGGCATGGTGAAGAGAAGGGGAGCAGCAGGCCATTACCTCTGGGATGCCAAGTTTACGGCAGGCGGCGATGAAGTTTTCCACATTGAGGCGACACTTTGCGGTGCTGAGCTTTGGCTGCAAGGTTCAGACATAAATATTATCATCTGCATAAACAATTACACTGTGTGAGTGTAATAATATATAGTAATGAGACATAAGATGATTAGGGTTGGAAGCAGAGTGCTTCCAAGATCAAAGCTGTAATGATGGTCAAGTTTATTGGTAGGTTTAGATCAAGGGTTCCCAAAACTCGTGTCTGCTGTTTTTGTTCTAGCTGTGCTAATGACTAAAGATTCAATAACATAGATAATTAAAAATTTAATAAGCACTAAATGGATTCACATGATTCATTAAAGAAAACAGGAATAATAATAATAATCATAACAACAAACATCTATTTTCTATGGAGTTCATAAAGGGACATGCCTGGAAAATATTTTGAAAGGTTCACATTCTCACATTAACATATTCGTGTTCCTTCGCAATCCTGCCGTGACCCAAAAACAATTGCAAGTGAACGCATAAGTTTTTCCAAATAACGCAAAACTGTTTAAAAATATTTTCCAACCCTGTCCCTTTACAGGCTCCATAATTTTCAGATTTATAGGTATTTATGGATATTTTCCACTAACAATCACGACCAAAACTATCATACACAGCAGTCTACCAGGACGGCATGCCCCCTTCCTTGGTCTATCAGTCACACGGATGGAGGAAACGGGCTCACCACAGCAGGGGACGGTATATGGATGATTGACACTGAACGTGGACGGATGTGATTCACCAGCTGGCAGAGAATGGTACCGTTGGACAGTGTCTCGCCCAAGTCCTCTGGGAGAGAGATCTTCAGTCGGGACTCTAGAGTCTGAGAGAGAGAAACAGATGGAACAAGATTAGGACAATAGGCACTGTCCCCTGCTTCTGTTTAATAATTTAAGTGGATCAGTGCATTAGAGTGAGTCAATGAGGGCTGTGAGAGATATGAGATGGGAGGAGGAAGTGCAAGTTGGGACTGTGTACAGAGTAAGGTGTTCAGAACCCAGGCTTCCTCAATCCAACACATCTTAATAGGGCTGCAAATAAACGATTATCAAAATAATAGTTTATCATGTGATGAGGTGATCATCTAATGAATTTGTTGGGCCAAAATACAGGGTTAAAAGAAAAGTGTATTTAAAAAAACATCTGTAGGTATTGTTAAAGTCACAGATCTGAGTAAAGAATCTTTATTTAAAGTGGCATAGAAACAAAGATCCACTGTTGCCAAATTTAGCTTGCTAACAATTGTACGATATACCGCACTATACGGTATTTGACAGTAACACTATTCTGGCATTTTTAAATCTTGCAGAGTGCCAGATAATTTTGTTGCCTAGATCTCAAAATAACACGGTATACCATGTTAACTTAATACCAGCCAAGCTTAGTAATAACTTTGAAACTTAAAAGTTTACCCATTTCACTACACTGCTTATATTTCTGTTTGCAGCAATATATCTTCCCTCTGCTGGTTTGGTGAAATATCACTGCTTACACATGCTCTAGCTGTGACCATCTGCGTCCACAGAAAAATGTAGTATATACACAAGAGTAACAGCACATGGAGAAGTTAAGTATTAACTAGGGCTGCCACTAATGACTGTTTTTCTATGGATTAATCCATCCATCCACCGTCCAACCCGCCTATCCTACTGGGCCGCGGGGGGTCCAGAGCCCATTCTATGGATTAATATATCCACTATTTTACCGATTGGTCAATCAATTTAAACAATTAATTTTCGTCCAGAAAATCATACTGACTTTAAATTTAGGTTAATTTTAATTGACACTGTCAATTAATAAAATATGACACTGCAGGGCGTTAGATAATGGACGCTGGCTTTTCGGCACTATACGGACCTTATTTTCGATAAGCAGATTAATAGTATGCCTAAAATATTATTGGGATGTGTATTGTGATGCCCAAAAGTTAGTAGTCTGTATAAATTCTGACGTTTCTTTATGCTTATTAAATTTGAGTAGTGGAGGACCACATGCTACCGTTTTGGTAAATCATAGAAGCAATAAGTACTAACGTTGTGGTGAAGAAAGGGACAGCTTACCAACTACAACATCTTTCAAAGGAGGAGATATTGTGGTTAAAAACTAGGCAAAAAGACGTTGGTGGGGTGGGGGTGCTTTTAGCTGATTAAAGTCAGACACATTTTTTTGGTAAGTATAGTTTTCATTTTAATTTCAGTTAATGATTTTTTAAAATTAGTTTCTGTTTTACTTTCAGTTTTATTTTATGGGAATAACACTGGCCCCAGCAAGCCTGATGTGCAGGAACGCACACACTGGTACCATCAATCAATATAGAAGATCCCCAGATTCTAACTTAAACATTTTCTCAAACACTTATTCGATGTAGATTCTAATGTAGCAGGCAGACAACATTATGGCTTTAAAAATGAGAGTACTTTGCAACTACAAGGACAAAAGATATTAAGAAGATCTCCATACTAATGGCAATTTAATAAACATGAATAGACAACACGGTAGTTTTGCCTACTCTGGTGGTCCAACACCCAGAACAGAGCTGTGTGTTTTGTCTTCAGGTGCCGCCGTGATATACCATTGAAACTTTGCAGTGTAAAACTAGCTATTTGTACTACTCCAATGTTACATAGTGATATTAAAGGAAAACATTTGCTATAATGAGTTGAAGCGTTTTATAAATCATAAAGGAATTTTACTAAAAAAAAAAACAAAAAAAACCGCTGGTTTAAAATATTGATGTCAATGCTTTTTCAGCGTCAACGTCATCGCTATGTCAACTAATAGCGGCAGCCCTAGTCAGAACCAGGTGTAACAGACTAACATCGCTGATGCTAGATGGTGATGGCATTATACACAATTTATGCAGCAAACCTCAAAAATGCAATCGACTGATGACAAAATTTGTCGTCAACTATTTTTTTTCCCAGTTCATCAGCGTTATTGATCTTATCTATGCTATTCTACTCACCCTCAAAAATGCTTCAATCTCCTCAACAGACACAGTGTAATTATTTAATTAGCCTGACAATCCTTTTGAGATGGTATTCAGCAATATTCGGCACTGAAATTCAGCTTCCCCTACCACATCCATTCCAAAGCCTCACCCAGGTCTCTGCTGGGAAGTCATGCCATTGCCTGAAGTGTAACCTTTTCAGAACTGAGCTCATCTATACTAAAGCCACCTTAGCATCACATTCCACACTGAGACTACAACATAGTGCAGCCAACAACCTACAATGTTACCCATGACAGATAGCTAAACTTATCACCATGTAACCACAGTTAAGAAGACTGGCTGACTGTCCCAGTCAGAGACCCAGCCTGTTCCTAATGACCCTGCTCATAGCTTTTGCCCTGTGGTTAGAGTACGGCTGATTATATACCTAGACACATGCATCTATATTATTATGTTCAAGACTTTGGGTTTGGCCTACAGAGTAGCTCCTTTCCAAGAGTCTAATTTTTAAGTCAACATGAATGACTGCATCACTGTGGAAAAAGTGTAGTTTAAATCCTTCCCAACATTGAAGATGTGACCCTGCAAATCTGTCTCTATTTGATTGCCTCCCCTTGTACTTTACATAATATAAAAATCAGGATGTCATTTCCCCTATTTTGGCAAACAAAAATTTCACCTTAAGACAAACATACAAGTAATTGTTTTGGTTTGGCATGGTATATTTATACTTAAAGGAACTGCAAAATTTTTTTGTAAACGATACAGTGAAAGGTTAGAAGAAGAGAGCAAGCAACCTTGCGAAGCTGTGTGATGTCCTGCTTATCTTCTCGAGCTGAGCGCAGCGAGGGCTTGGAATCACTACGGCCAGAATCTGCTAGACATTGCACCGAGCCTAGAGAGACAAACATAGTAAGACACATGGCAATGACACTCAGAGAGAGATAAATGTATGCAAAGTGGAAAAACACCCAAAAGAAAGGAACGCACACTGGTGGTATATCACAAAACAATCTTCAATAACTTCAGGGGGTATTTTTCGTACGTGGATTACTCGTTTAGCTGGATGAAATTGTTGCCGATTTGGCATCATCCTGGATCTGTTGGTTTTTCAAAACTCTTGCTGGATGTGTTGTCAGAGCAGATCGGCAAGATAGTTTATTGCTCCTGAAGGAAATTCTTTTCTAAAGATACCGCTTTAGCCGTGGGGGAATATTGCACCTCAAACATTTATTAGCACCTTATATTCAAAATTCAAACTAGGCGAAGTATATATACGTATATATCAGTGTGTGTGTGCTATATATATATATATATATATATATATATATATATATATATGGATTTTTTATGTCAACAATTCTTTGAATAGTTATATACCAATATTTACCAGTTTGAAGTATATTCTTGTACTTCTCGTTAACCTGTTCCCATGTTCTCATTGGGCTTATGTTTGATCTGGAATTATGACATACAGTAAAATCCCGTTATAGTGGACTCGCATAAAAAAGAATATCGTCTATAACGGACGAGGTCTGCTGGTCCCGGCCGTGCGCCTTTAAGAACATGCAGAAAAAGTGTTGGATATAGCGGACTCGCATATAACGGAATTTTGCTTATAACGGACAAAACATTTGTTTCCCAAGGCCGCTTTTAGCTGTAGTTTTGTTCGGCTATAACAGACATGCAGTTCCGCCTACAAGACGCGTGGCGTGCCGGTGATATCCAGCACAGAAACGTACGTAGTCGGGATTATTAATAGTCAGGTAAAGTTGGATTACTACATGTACAATTGAATAATCTATACCACAAGTGTGTCTGCTGGGGTGTGGCATGAGTACATGCTGTACTGTAAAAAAGCAACTCTGGATATAACAAACTGTTTTATCAGGTCCCTTGAGCTCAGTTATAATTGGATTTTACTGTATTAAATAATAATTAATCTGACACATAGGAAATGAAACACTGCATTCAGTAAATATAATGAACGCTACTTCCGCGTTTAATTTGTCGGCCACTTTTCGCCAGCCGTCTTTTCTGGTTTGGGCTGCTTTTGCCGTGTTACTCCTTGTGTATTTAGTTGAAATTCTTCATATCCTTCCAATATGAGGTCCTGCTCCGCTTGTATGAAAAGGTGCGCCCTTCCTTTCATCATTTTGTTGCAGCTACATGTTTTCTAGACTCGATATATATGGGCATTTCAAGCAACACGGGCACGCGCAATCATCCCGGATGATTGGATCCAGCTAGACTAATCTATTACACAGCCGTGTTTGAAAAACCGACTTATCCCGAATGAGTTTTACCAGCATTAACTCATCCAAGATGAGGCATCTGATCTCGGGTGATTTAAGCGGTGTATGGAAAATACCCCCCAGGTCAGCTTTCAGCTCTGGTTAATTTTCCAAATTGTGAGTCTAGATGATTCTATGACCACAGTTCCCCTTGTACCTGAGGTCAGGCACCCTTAGTTACCAAACATCAAGTCTCTTGGCCCTTCACGGGAGAAGATGGAAACTGCAATGAACCACACACACTGATACACACACATGGGATCTGAGGCAGCCCCAGCAGCCGGGCTCCGAGTACCTGAAGCTTTCACATTGCAGCGAGATGTGGCACGGAACAGGAAGCTGCTAGGCTTCTGGTTTGTTCCCGTGGGTGAGCTGGCCTTTGGAGACAGAGGTACATCTGACAAACAAAAACATTTTTTAATTATACTCCCATTCAACCACACTACACAAATACAAAAGGAGAAGTCATTAACAGTGGGGTCAATTATTTTATAGTCAGATGTTGTTAGATGGCTCTCGATGATGGAAAATATCATTAGTCATGTGCTAGCTCTATACAAACATGCTTTATGCTGTGAATGACTGGCTGGTGGACAAATATGACAAAGCATTTGGAAGCATGATGTAAGCCTTGTCTGCCTTTCTGTGTGTGTTCCATTGTAATAAGGAAGTAAGGAAATACACCCAAAACAGGCAGCCTGAAAGAGGCGTGGTTTTTCATTCAGTGTCAAAGCTGTACAAAGCCATGGGTGGAGCCGCAGCCGTAGGCAGGGGTACCTGATCGGCTGCCTGAGCGCTGCAAGCTGGGAGAACGAGACGTCACTTGCTCCATATTCTGCGCACTCTGGGAGAGGGAGTTTGTTAATTGAGTTCACACCATGTAAGTAGCCAGGGCTATATACATGGTGAGACATGGGTTACATATATAAAAAAAGTTTATAATTATTAAAAATTAATACATAAAAATATGAGAAGACAGAACCTTAAAAACATACAGACAGCAATAATGAGACAACTTAGAAATCATACAGTTCTGAATAACGTTATTTGTATTGGCTTTAGTTAGAAATCCAGAACTGCCTCTGGTGTAACCGTAGTAAAAACATGCTGCAAAGTACTGACTGAGAAATGCATTTGCCTAATAGTATTAAAAGAGCAGCAATAGATAAAAATGTAGTTAACTGATAGAGGCTTTGACATGTGGGGCACACACAGGGGATTCCTCATTTGTAAGTAAAAGCATTTGCATGAGCCTGCTGTGTGCTACACGACACCTGGTGTAAGTGATCTGGTCCCAACGGCTTTTGAAACAGACTATTGCTCTATTTCCAACAACAGAGTTAATTTCACACTTTATTTATGCGTTCGTCTGGGGAGAGGGAGGGGCACCACTTACTGTTCTACTGATCTCATCCTACATAAAAGCATCTATACATTGCAGTCATGAGACCCTGCTACAGTTTATTTCCCACTATAAAGATGTCAAATCTCCAGTGTCAGAGCTTATTCACTCGAAAGGCAGTGGTGCAGTATAAAAGTCCCTGAGTTGCAATTATTCTGATCAATTAAAAGCAAGTTTTTAAAGTCCTAGTGCATCTTACACGTGGACTTTTTGCCAGCTTGGCAGTGAAATCAGCACATTTTGCACATTTCTTCTCCTGCTGTGCCTTTGCAGACATTTTTAACTGTTCCTCTGAAATGGCGTCTTTATAGGTCCAGCTACTCTGTGTATCCATGGTAACATTCTGAACGGTAATATAGTATCTTGTAACTTAAGCATACGTCATGACACATTTTCTTGAAAACACAAAAACCTAAACGAACCAATGACAAGAAGTATCTGTTGTCCTAATTTCGAACTTGAAACAATACGACAAAGAGAAAGCCTTACTGAAGATCTCTGCCGAAGGCCATTGGATGAGGGCCTAGTATCTGGAGATCCACCCCTAGGGGGAGACAGACAGTTTTCTGCAAAAGGCCACTGTGTAAAACCAGCACAGACTTAGCACTATAAGTGATGTAGGTAGTCTTAATACAAAATACACATGAAAAGATCAACAGAGAAGTAGAGAGAGAAAACCCATTTCTCTACATCACTTCTATGCATATGCAAACATAAAACAAGCCTCGGATCTGTTACCCTGTGCTTCCTGTCTGGGCTGCTGCGGCTGCATGACTTCCTGTTTTTGCTGCTGGTTTCAATAAGCTATAAAACAGAAAGATTCAGAACAGAGGCTAAAGTAATCAAATTAAAAACTTTAATTTGTTACTTGCATGACATTTAGAAAGCACACCCCAAGAGTTCAGGGGTGTAGAATTTGAGCTACTGTAACTGGGTCCTCGCCGGTTGGACTGATACTTTGATTATGAGACTACCTTCCCATAGAAATTTGGAGCCAAAGGTAAGCAAATTCATATAATATCTATTCCCGGCAGAGACAAGAGTCACTGCTGCAATTAGAGTCATTGTAGTTATTAGGAAGGACAATGTCACATCTTACCTGTGACACAAACAGAAACACTGAAACATTTCCCATTAACACTGAGCATTCTGACCCTACATGTTATGACCAAAGAGGAAAAAAATACAGCAGAAGGAGCCACAGCAGAGCTACAGGCTCAGCTTATTTTCCTAGCTATACAAAGTAGGGCTCCTGTTAGGTAACCAGGGCCTGTGGCAGGAGGAAGCATTACGCAACACCCAGGCTGGGGGATAGGAGGGGGCAGCAGGAGGCAGCGGCAAAGGCGCCCACAAACACAGCACAACCAGAATTCACTGAGTTCAGCAGCTGATAGCACAGTGGCTTCAAGAAACAACATGCAAGCATCATGCAAACACTCAGGCAATTTCACGTTTAAATCTGACAGACAAATCATATCAGATTCCCTCAGAAGGCGTCCACGGGTGACCAGTGGGCTGACACTGTTAGCAGTAACTGGAAAGACTGCTCTTTACGGAGACCCCTGACATGCACTCCCCTCTTTCCTCCTTCTCGTTCACCTGCTATCCCTTGCTTTCTCCCTCTGCTGCTGTGCCCGTTCCCGTTCCTGCCAGATTTGCAGGGTGCCGGGTTGACGGCGCTCCTCGGGGGACTGGCTGGAGGGGGTGGCTGATGAGCCCCTATCACTAACGTCTCCACTTGCACTGGACCTGCTGGGAGGGGGGAGGAACAGAGGTGGCAGAGAAAATGAGAAAGGGCTACCACTGTGAGCTACAGTATATAACTGCAGTAGCTTGCTGATTAGGGAACTGGGCCGGTTTTGTAAGCAAGAAGTTGTTGCTACTCAAACCCCAGATGGGGAACTGTCTGTGCCTGCGCGCATGCATATGCATGTATGTGCATGTGTGTATGCGTGCGCATTTCTTTTAAAGCACACCGTATTTCAAAGTCAGTAACAAATCCCAATGTAATGAGCTGTGGGGAATACAGTACGCATTAGCTCAGATCATTGTTATGCCCATTATAAATGAACTGCCATGTGCGGTTTGACTTCACAAACAAGGTTTTCATTAGAGCAGTTAATATTCAAAAGAAGAGGAAAAAAATCAGCTGTGCAAATGAGCCATATAAAGTATAAATATTAAAATTCTTAGCCTTGCTAACACTGAAATGAAATCCATATCTATAAATGTTTGCTGTCCAGTAAGACAAGTGATATTCAACCATTCAGTAGTTTAGAAACCATGCAATAAGGATGAGAGAGAGATAAGGAGCACACGCTGATTACAGCGCATTGCCACACCCACCACACAACGAACCACCTCAGGGATGAGAACCTGAATGCAGCCATGCAGTAGGTGATACCTTAGCACCACAGCAGGCCAAATGGACTAGGGTTAGTTTTCATTTCAGTCCTACCACCAACCCACAAATTTCCCTGTAAGCTGGAGGACCTCCTTGCAGAGCTGAACGTAGATTAATGTCATACCCAGGGCTAAGCACCTGCAGGTTAAGGGCCTTGCTCAAGGGCCCAATGGAGTAGGATCACTGCTGGGATTCATTCTTTAAAGAAGGATTCTTTATATACTGTACACAGTACAACAGAGTGCTGTGCACCGGCCTCTGGGACACAAGTATGTGTAGTTTTTGCTGGACTAAGTTTTCCTGCTGGATTGTGAATGCAGGTGCCGTCCCTGCATTTTTAAGTTCATGTCTCTGGTTGCGTGTATTTATACACACGAGGCTCACCGGCTGTTTGGAGACGAGTCCAAACTGTGAGGAAGTGTCTCGCTTCTCTCCTGAGGGGAACACAAAAGAGGAGCTTGGGTAAGTGAAGGGGCTGGCCACAAGCCAGCACTCAAACGCCCGGAAAAAAAGTAATGAAGGAATACATGCAAGTGGCATGTGGGTGTGTATATGCGTGTAAGTATAGAATAAGCTGTGGAGTGAGTTGATGGACACAGATTATGCAAAACATGCCTCCCTGCTGCCACCCCCGACCTCCCACTGACCTGCGGAGATGCAGCACTGGGTTCTTCCTCTGTGAAATCCAGCTGCTCCACCACACCATTCACTGCCGGCACTGGTACATATCAGGGAATTGTTTACATTAAAGCTGCACATCTGACAGTCTAAGGACTTCCGACATAACAGAGTTCCAAGATTTGTGCTGTGTGTAAAATTCCTGTCCTCTGTGGTGTTTTTAATTGGCCACAACACCAGGCCATGTCCTGACTGGCGGCAGCTTACCTCTCCCTGCCAGAGGGTCACGCTCACCCTCCTCCCGCAGGTTCCTCTGGTCCCGGGAAATCTCTGCCATCCTCAGGGACAGCTCAGAGAAATCATCTGCAGACTGAAGGCCAAAAAATCATGCAGTGACACCAAGATCTTAGGCTGAAATGCTTTCATGGACAAGTACAAAACTGCTTACTGATTGCACATACTGCCGGACAGAGCTGTTCAGTCCACTATGAGATCTGTAGCACAGGAAGTATCTTTGACATCCTGGTTTGTCAATGTTGCCCTCATTAAACAAGCGCAATGCAGTTATTTTTCATCGACCAGCCACTGAATACAGGCAGTTCAGCCACTGGATCACAGGCAATTTATAAATATGGGAATGACATTTGCAGAATGCAAATCTCTCTGGGGCTTGCACATGTTCATCTCCGGCATGTTTACATTTTGCGCCACTGGGTAGCACCACTAAATGCGGCAGCCTGCGGAGGAAAACTTGATACTCAGCTCAGTTAACCCAAGTGCATTGTTATGGAAGAGCTCATTTTTAGGACTGTAACAAAACAAAAAAAATCAACTGGAAATCCAATCTAAATGATGCTGCTGCATTCGGTTCAGTTTAGAAGGGAAGACTGACAAAAACCGATACGATTGCCAGAAATCTATACACGTTGTGTCAAAACTATTGCATATTACTGTAATATTTTGTATCAAAGACCATGCATTTACATGCATATCATATCTGAGAGGGTTTTCACAAAATGGATTCCACTGTCATACATAAGTGTCTAAGTAGTACACTGGTGAAATATCTAGGGTTGAACGTAAAAGAAAACCTTAAACTCTCAAAGAAAAGTGTAACCATACAAATAGTTATCAACACAATGAGCATAATGGTTTTGTTTTAATGGTCCGTCCCCACCCTGTTCTTTCCAAAAGGCCAGTTAGTCTGATTGTGAGAATTTTCATAGGGAGAGGTTTTATGGGAATGTTATAGCAGAAATGCCTGTATTCTAAAGTAAACCAAACATAACATCAGCATTACTCCCAGTTAATAAACATACAACATTAACAGAACAGTGTGATTTCAGTTACATGAATCCGACATGACGTGTGTTGCTTATGAACCCGTACCTCATTCCCTGACCACCGTTTACTGACACTGTCTACACTGTTGAATCCAGAGTCCAAACCACTGTACTGCCGCGGAGGAAACAGCTCCTGGTCTGATAGGCTGCAAAGAGATATGCGGATTCAGACAAACACAAGCTTCTATTTCTGGTTTGTGGGGACTTTCAATGAATTTAAAAACAATTGAGAAAAAGCAAATCCTCTGATCTGACAGTTTTATGCACACACTTCCTGGCACATTAGGTCCCCCCCCCCCTCACCAGGTGTTGAAGCCTGTGGGTCTCAGTGCTCTCTCTAGCTCTTCCTGCGTTGTCTTACATGCCTCAATATTCAGGAACTTGAATATGTGGAATTTTCCCTTAGAGCAAATCTGTGCCAAAGAGAAAGGGAGCAAATTAGAGTTTTGTTTTGTTTTTTATGACTATGGTGTTTTTAAAAAACAATTTGATCAGTAATCTGGAGTGTGTCTGCATGTCTGAAACAGTCAGCTGCATTACAGGGCTCCGTTTTCTATGGAAACCTCTTTGATGCTTAAGACACTCACAGAAAACAACCCCAGATCAGAGTCTGGGCCTGACTACACCCCCTGACCTGGGCGGGCGGTGACTGTAGGGGGTTGTTGTCGAGGGCAATGGTCTGAAGGTGGCGAAGGTGGCGGTAGCACACGGGGACCCGAGAGACACGGTTGCAGGACACGTCCAGGCGAACAAGGGGTAACTCTGAGAGCTCTGAGGGAAAAGAGAACATGAATACCAGAAACAGCTGTCGGCCAACTGCAGCATTTTCCTACTGCCATAACGGCATGGAAGGCCATTACAGAAACACCCTGATGCAGAATCAGTAATGCTGCCCTCCCACCCCGAACACAGAGCCTTTCACCAAGGAAGCGATAGGCGCAACGCCACCTTCAGGCAGGGTGGTGAGCTGGTTCCGCCTCAGGTTCAGGTCCCGCAGAGCCTCCAGCTGCCCCATCTCCACAGGTAGCCCCTGGAGCTCATTACAGCTCACATCCTACAGAAAGAGAAAGGTGAGGGTGAGGAGGATGAAGAGTAGGACAAGGACACAGAAAAGGGGCCAAGAGAATGTAAGACCGACAAAATGACAAGAAAGAACAAATTGTGAAAAGAAAGTTAGAGAAATGTGAGGGGGGGGGGGGGAAGCCCTTTGAACTGTTATCCGACCAAGGCACTAACTTTAGGGTGGGGGGGGGGGGGGGGGAAAGGGAAAGAAGGAGAAATGAATGATAATGATGGGAAGAGCAGAGTGAGTCATCATTGCTGTGTTGTGTATCCGTGTCTGTTTATACCAAGGTGATAAGGCAGATGTGCTCTCAGTGAGTTTGGGGGGGAGGGGGGACGTGGGCGAAAGATAATCCACTGTGCAAGCTGTGGTGTGACTCCTGTTAAGCGTGCATATGGTGGAACGTACCAGCTGCCGCAGGTGAGTGAGGCTGTGTATGGAGGTCGGCAGCGAGGTGAGCTTGTTGTTGCTAACGATGAGTACCCGCAGCAAGGGGAGCTGACACACAGACTCGGGCAGGCTGGATAGCTGGTTACGGCTAGGGAGAGAGACACAGGACACAGGTTGGCCCAAAATCCACAGAGCCCCTACTCAATATGGCAAAGGTCACCGTGATATCATATGTGAGGTATATTTGGTAAGTGAGGTAGGTGCACCCTCAGTACCTGCAAATCTGTTAACTTCTCATCTAATAACTGCGATTATCGATAGAGTTGAGCTCAAAGTTATAAGTTTAAAATGAAAAGTGTCTCTTCCTCCTGACCATTTTCATTCCTTTTGTAATGCCCCAGATGCTGTCAGACTTTGCAAATTCTCATCTTGATTTGTTTTTTAAAGCAAAAGTAAAACTGATCCAACCCAGATCAGGAAGGAGACCTCAAGTGTACTTCCTGCTACTTGTGCATCAGATACCTTCACAAGAGCTATTTAAATTTGCTGATGGACATACTGATACAATAGGAAAAACAAGCCCATGTTCCATGGCACATATCACAGGCACAAAGGTAGTGAAGGACCTTTTGCCAGTTATGCCAAAATGTGGGCTTGCCAGTTCATCACTAACTTCAGGAAGGCCTTACATATGGACAACACAGGCATCTGAATGGTCATCTCTAAATTTCAATATCGCTATGGTGGAGCTAGTCTTGGAGATTCAAAAATCTAAAAATTTTAAATTTAATAAATCAGGAGGAGTCAAATTATATTTGGCCAGATCTGAGGCATTTACGTGCCTTTGTTGACAGCACCAATACTAACACGAGTACTTGGGGTCAACATTAAAAACAGGGCCAGCTTACCTTATCACACTCTGCGTAGCACAAAGCATGTGTGTATAATTTACAGTAATAGTGTTCTGATATTTTCTCTTCTGTTTGGGGATTTTTCAGGGAAGCAGTCAAACAGCACAGAATGCAGCCATTTGGTTTCTTACCACAAAAATGAAACATGAACAATCAGTCCTACACTGGGTACCTGTCAAAATCAGCTCCATCTTAAAAAAAAAAAAAACTCCTGGGCTTTTAAGACCCTAAATGCACAGCCTCCACAGACCAAATTCTCTTGCCAGTTAACTTGGCTCTCATATTCCTGCCCAATTGGTTGTAACAAAAGAGGCAGCTGCATTTAAGGTTCAGGACACAAACATTCTCCATCTGCAAGGACAGGACATGTTCTGCCCACCTGCCTGCCTGCCCACAAGGTTACTTGGACAATTGTTTGCTGTGCCAGGAATGACTGACTCAAGTCGTGTTATTCCTGCACACACATTTCACCTGAGGTTTGCTGTGCTCTGTTACATCTATTCCATCACACTCACAGACCTTACTTCACCAGCACCGAAAACATTGAAAAGAAACCAAACTACTATGTACCTCTCTCCCTCAGAGACCCATTCACCTGAGTGCAAAACCTCACTACTTTCTCCAGCAATCAACTTTGCAGCAACACCCAGGCACAGGAGTCCACACCTTGGCCTGGTTGAGTCTTTCTCCTTCCCTCTACTTACCACCTGATTTCATGGTGCAGGTGTGCATTACCTGATACCAATGCACATTATCAGTCTTAATTCTACACTCAAACCACAGACCTGAAACATCTCTGTAAATTCATATGTACACTGCTAAAAAAAATTAAAGGAACACTTTTTAATCAGAGTATAGCATCGTCAATTAAACTTTGGGGATATAGATTTGGCCAGATAAGTAGCAAGAGGGGGTTGTTAATCCGTTTCAGCTGCTTTGGTGTTAATAAAATTAACAACAAGTGCACTAGAGAGGCAACAATGAGACGACCCCCAAAACAGGAGTAGTTTAACAGGTGGGGGCCACTGACTTTTTTTCCCTCCTCATCTTTTCTGACTGTTTTTTCCATTAGTTTTGCATTTGGCTATGGTCAGTGTCACTACTGGTAGCATGAAGCAATATCTGGACCCTACAGAGGTTGACCTAGTAGTCCAAATTCGCCTGGATGGCGCGTCAATACGTGCCATTGCCAGAATGTTTGCTGTGAAATTCATAAGATCACTTTACTCTTTATATGAAAAGTGCTAATATGTGGTGTTAACACTGCTCATCTAGCAAGCAACCTGAATACTAATGTTACTGTTAACCTAAGTCAGCCACCTAAATTTGGCATTGCGAAACATGCCTTACAATGCACCATGGGCACCTCCTAATTGCAGTCTAGTCATGGCAACTAGTTCTGGCCAGTTAGGCTGAAACTCTTAGTTCCTTTCCTTGTAATTTTATCCACTGATTGCACCCTTTTTTGTACAGAGGCAGGAGTTGCTCGAAATAATAATACTCATCATCATCATCATCATCATCATCATCATCATCACCACCCAAAGAACAGTACCACTACTGTGGACTGGCTTGGACCAGTACCTTACAGAAGGGTGAGCATTCTTATCAAATGGGCATTTACAAAGCATGATCAGTCATTTGGTCATAGGAAAGGCAGCACTGCATTAGGAGTATACTCCATACCTGTTGAGTGCATTTTCAGCACTGAATTTTTGAGGTGCAGCATGACAGAGCTTCGTACCTGATATTGAGGTAGGTGAGGGCCTGGAGGTTGCAGACAGCTGGGGCAATGGAGCGAACGCAGTTATGGTACAGGCTAAGTGTTTCCAAGGAGATGAACTGGCAGAGCTCCTCAGGCAGTTCACATAGACGATTCTTTGACAAGTCTGCCAAGAAACAACCAATCAGTGATATACGTTTGAAATGGTCTCTTATGCTTCATATATCTTAATATCATGGTACTTGTATTTTTTTAAGAAACACATAAGCCCATATACACATACATGCATGAATGTGAACCATGGCTTAATTTAGGGCTGGGCAATATAGCTAAATATTTTATCATGATAGTTATTTTTTATATTGATAATTTCACAATTTTCAGAACACAATTAAAGTCATTATTTCTTTACTTCAATTTTTGCTGAAAATTCCCTTAGGATTCCCCCTAAACAGACTCAGGAAGAATGACGACAGATTGGATGAACTGCAAACTGAAATATGTTTTAATGAATCATAAGTATAACCCTAAAAAACACCAAGAATACAATGCGTTTGCTGGGTTTTTTGTTCATACCAGGATATGGGTAAAGTTGGTAAAGTTGCTGCCCGTCTCATATTGAAAAGTAAAATACTTTGTCCCATTTTTAAGCAATATGGGATGTGAGTTTCTTCACTGACACTAACACCAAAGTTTCCTCTGAGGGAGTGCTTATCTATTCCATGATATTACCAAAACATGAGCATGTGCTGCCTGTTTATTAGGCATAGACTGATCATTCTTAAAAGATGACCAAATGATTGGCTGGAATTGTGTTTCTGAGATGTGAAGGGCTGTTGTGTGTTATCAAGTACCGCTGGACAATGTATCTGAATTTTTATCCTATATTTTATACATTTTTACATATGAAATGGCTTGATAATACATCGTTATATCGATTTTATGTATTAATTGCATATGTGGACAAAACAGTTGGCTGTAAAATGACGGGATGAATGCAGTGCTCCTTATAAAGTTTATCAAAGTTTCTTTGGTTTAAACTGTATATTGCAAAAATTTGATACAATTTAATCAGCCAGCCCTACTTCATATTAATAAAGAGCATTTCAGAGTTAGTTAGGCCAGAATGATCCAGTGTGGCTAAAATACTCCTGCAGTAGAGCTCCGCCAGCCTTACTGTATGACACCTCATTTTAGAACAAATTTAGAAATAACAATAGGGAGGATAAAAAGCAGATTGAAGCCATGTATCTTGACAAATCTCACATATATACAAGGACACACAAAAGCTATGTGCCAGACAGGGCAAAGTTCCAGCAGGGCTAATCTACCCAGAGCACAGATGTTTCAAGCTTTCCAAAACCAACCCTCATTGTCCATGCTAACTCCACCCCTCCACCTGGATTAAAGAGTTCTGCCTGCTTGCCCCTTCCCTCCTCCCTGCTGGGCCAGTTATGAACCACGCCCCGACGAGCAGCTCCTCCACCACAGGCCTGTGATTACACACGACCTCCGGCTCCAGAAATAGCCTGTGACCTCCTGAAGGGACCAGGGAGGGGAGACCCAGCAGGCAGAGGGTGTCCCGGGACCCAAACTCAGGGCGAGTCTTTATGCAAGACAGAGTATGGAAGGAAAGCACAGAAATGTGCTGTGCTTCTATAAAGTCTGCTATATCAAATATGGATATTACCTAATCTAAATCCACTAAAATGAGACACTACAGCAGGACAATATGACGATATCAATTGGTAAATTAATCCGGTGTTAATATCTGACAGGGACTAACCGGTGATTACTGCCTTTGTTGATGAAGTAGGCTTAGGGAAAAATAACAGAAGGATTTATAATTTGGCTTTCAGTCCAGCCTTCTAACCTACGTTTCTGATGCAGTTTAAAAGAAAATTAATGGAGCAGCATTTCACAAGCATTGCCCGTTGCAGTAATAGCGTTATAAGCTCAGAAGTTTGACATTGTAAGATTTCTTTGCAGCTCCTTTCATTTCAGGGAGTGGTCTTCACAGGGTAAAGCCAAAATTTAAGACAAAAAAAAGAACACTGACAATTTTTAGATGACCTAGGCTAGGCTGTTAGTTTTTTAAACTTGCACTTTGTGGTGTGCACACCATCCCATACTGAAAAATAAAGTGCTGTGTCCCATATGGATTCATGAAAATATTCAGTTTGTCCCATATTTTCATACACATTTTCTACCAGACCCCCCAACCCCCACTTGGCAAATTTAATTGCCAGGAAACTGACGATACAACCCATCACGTCCACACATTGTGGTTCCATCTAAAAAAGAAAGAAAAGAAATGACTAAATTAGTGTAGATTTATTGACCATGCATAATTGTGCGATGGCTGGGCTCAAACTGAACTATGAATGTTCAGTTTGTTATATTATACATACACTAAAATAAGAACAGTACCAGTCTATTGTGGAAAGTGATCTGGTGTGGGTGTGTGTGTGTGTGTGTGTGTGTCTGTGTGTGTGAGAGAGAGAGAGAGAGAGAGAGAGAGAGAGAGAGAGAGAGACACACACACACACACAGTGTACACATACATACAAGCCATCTTAAGCATATGTGCTCAAATGCGTTCTGATGAATAATGTGTTTGCATCTGGTACTGTATACAGCACAATGCTTAAGCATGTTCTGCAGTATCTGTGCATATGTGCATAGTAAGTGGAGTACTTTCTCAGCCTCAACTGCTAACAGCACAGACTGAACAATAGGGTGACCCTTCTAAGCATTGGGGCTGTTGTATGTCCTGCTGCAAATCAGCCTCCTGGCAGGATTTGAGCCACAAAACACCCCCATCTCCTCTCTGCCTCCTGCTCATGCTTGAACCCCCTTTGTTTTCGGTTTTATTTGGCAAGGAAGCAGTCCAAGACAAACCCGTTACAGTCAGAACTATGGGGGGACCATCTACAGCTCCTGTCTCTCCAGAGAGTGGTTAGGGCAAACAGAAAAGCTGACGCAGGCAACATATTAACTCACTGCCAACGTTAGGAAAAACGCATTTCGCACAAGGGGGCAGGAACTGAACACTCTACAGTCAACTGTGGAAACACAATTCTTTGTTGAACTCACAAGGAAAGCTAGCTAGGAGATCTGGGTTATAAGGTCATTCTGCTGCAGAAGGCCGGGAACAATCTTCCTCAGTCTGGAATCGGATGTGAAGGTTTTGTGCTAAAAACAGTTTTCTTCCTCTCCAGTGAGACAAAGTAAATACTTGTCTACTACAACCACAGAAGGACAAAAATGATGGTTGCAAATAGAGGAAAAAAAATATCACCAAAATATGACGACATCATAAATTTCCCCCTTCCTAAGCAAAGTTACCCATTGTTTTAGTCAGACCAAAACTGCAAAAAATAACAGGTGGGAATCAGGTTCTGTGTAGTTTTTCTCTCTGCATTTCCTTCATTGCATGTAAACTCACATAAACAGCAATTTCAGAATTTATGTTTTACTATTTGTGTTGAATGGTTGTGCAAGGCCATATTTTCCAGAACTTTTCATTTATTGCGGTCAGATTTCTCAGCCATGATGTCAGGTGCAACACACTACTCAGTAGTACTTTTTAGAACAAGGTAATATAACTCAATTACTTCATCACGGTTTTTGCTTTTGTGGATATTCTCTGCTGCAAAGTCACATGATTAAGTTTACTCCATTCTGAACTAATATATAAATGTGCCATAAAAAACAATTACAATAACAGTTACTGGAAATGTTACTCCTAGTTAGCATTGTACTATGTACAGGCAAAAAATAATATTGTTTTTAAGCAGCTTTTTTTTTAAAATTTTTTTTATTTGCTTTTTGTGGCCATTTTTAAAGTGTCTAGTTATAGTCAAACAAAGGGGTCGCATATCAAATTGGTGCTTTTTCAAATTTCTGCTTTCTTTCTGCTGCATCACAGTCCCATAAACAAATGGAAGTCAACTATTATCTTAATCTTTTCTGCCTATCCGGTGGTTCTGGCTTTCTCAATAAGGCCCACCCATGTCAAATAACACTTAATGCACCATCATTCTTCATATAAAAACACATTTAACACATCTATCACATAAGATTCTTACAATTTCCTAAAAGATGCACTTGACTGCCGGCATAGCGCAATACAGCAACAAATCGGCCATCTGCCAATGGTTAAAAATTAGCAGAGTCTGCAGTTGCTCTGCAGACTCACGTACTAAATGGTTAGAAAAATGTCTTCTGTGTGGAATTAACGTTTGCGAAAACAATGTTAGAAATGCATTTTGCAAACATTCCTCTGCTAAAATTTTATGAGGAGGATCTACTAATAAACATTTCAACCCAACATATTTGATTGCTCACCTTAAGGTGAGACAGTAGAGTATGAAGAAGCTGCAGTACTGCTGAATAATGCTAGTCCGTCAGTAACGCATTTCATAGCAAAAGAAAATTCAGTGCAGTCAGTGCAAAATCAAAATATATTACTTGGAAAATTACAGATTATCACACTTGATGATCAGCCCTTCCCTGTTATAAATGTTATAAAGATGTATGTAGTTATAAAATATAGTGCTCTGGGAGTATTGCTGTATGCCAAAGTTGGGATTTGCTTACAAAAAAATACTTTCATATTTTTGGAATGTTACTATTTTTTAATTTATTTGCATGGAGTGTCCCTTTAAACTTATTTAAGTCAAACCTCCCAAGCAATAGGTACTTCCTTATTGATTCATCACTAATAATTTTATGTTGAGGACAATAACTAGACTACAACAGCACATATCTTCATATAATAAATATAACTGATTCAGACATTATATTCATCACAAAGGATCAATGCTGTTTTCCGTTTTGCCTATCAAACAATGCTTTTATGTCCCATATAGCTGATGCATTTATAAAATTCAACTCATAGGGTTACTGCAGAAAGCTGACCTAATGCATATTTCATGAGTCAGCACTACCAGGGACCTCACTAGAGTGAAAAATGGTTATTTTGGCTTTTCAGGGCTGTGTGTTTATTTCCTCTCTTAACCATCAAGGCAAATGCAGCAATCATGTAATAATAATCATGTAATAGCATCTCATATTGCAACTCAACAAAGAGATTGCATTAATGCAACAAAAACCGTGTACACTAGGGGATGTAACAGCTTATTATGTTATTAAGTACCAGGA